AATTCTTTGTGTGGATAGAGAGCATCATGCAGATCATGAGAGGCCACTACTCCCCTACCTGAGAAACTTCAGTAGCTCTGTTTCTTCTAGGATAAAATATAAACTATTTTGACATTAAAGCCCCTTCCAGATGCATCCTTTCCACACTCACAGAATATTACTCCTACTGGAAAACTCTATATTCCCAAGTGAGTATGGTTTATATTTCCCTCTGCCTAGGAAAATCTGGACCTGAGGCTCCTCCAAAAAGCTCATAGCTGTGAAAGAGAAAGGCCTGGATTGTACCTTTCGATGAATCCTCGAACTGAAGACTTAACTTCTTTGAAATCCAGTTTTCACATCTGTAAAATGGTATAAGATCTATGATCCTGTGGATAATTGTGCAATGAAAGAGTCCAAGAAAAGTGTTTTGCAAACTTTAAAGCACCCATATGTGTCAGCTATTTTACTATTATTATTTATAATACCAACTACCTTACAATCCAAAACAATTTAACACAGTTAAATTGATCATTTGATCCTCACAACAAGTAGATTGCAAATAAGGCCCAGTGAGAAGAAATGATTTGTCCAAAAAGATCATAGAAGGAAGAGGCAGAATCAGGGTGTAAACTTAGGCCTGCTAAACTTGGGGTTCTTTCCATTGGGCCAGCTTTGTCTTTCATACTAACACATTTGTAGGCCGGAGATTGCAAGCTTAAAAACAAAGGAGAACGTAAACATTTATGAAAACATAATAGATGTTAATTAGATTCAGGGTTGTCTACAAACTGCTGAAGAGCTAGTCTACGTTCCTGTTCTATATGATGAGCTCTCACTAGCAATTGCATAAAAAATGAAAGAGAAAATAGAAAAATGGGAAGGAAGGGGGATGAGAAGGAATCCCGATCTTTTTTTTTTCTTTTCAAAACATAAATGTTTTCTAATAAATTTTTTAAGTACAGTGGGTAGAATGAATTAATTGTGCATTGTTTCTAATTAAGCAAGTCAAAAGTGTTTATCACACAAATTTTGTATGTGTAACGAAATTCCTAAAACAGTGGTCCACTTTTGGGGAAAGAGAGTTTAAAGTAGCAACTGGGGCTTACCTAGTTTAAAAGACTGGAAGTGGGCAATTATAAGTGGCAATATACCAGCTGGATTTCACAACTACTTAATAATAAAAGCTTTTATGTTAGTTTGTTAGGCATGTAGAACAGCTGGCAAAACAGCACTGTTTGTCATTTACTTTATAATGGGAAATTAGGGCTATCTTTTGTGTCAGTGGATATGCATTTTTAAGCAGATGTCACAGATATTAGAAACAAAAGGACAATGGGGCTCCCAGCCCCCCCGAGGTAAAGTTAGGGTAGGAAATATTCAATACCCCTTTCTAAATTAAGTTCACCCAAGCACATAACATCCAAAAGAACATGTGATTATGGTCAGTACATGAATCATTATTTGGATGACTGTTTTTCATGATCCAACTATTTTTCTGCAAATGATTGACCAGCTTTTTTTAACAATATACGCACAGTGAAATTTTAAAAAATTCTGTTGTTGTAATCTTTAAAAAAAAAAAAGTTTTACAAAGTCCTTTACATGTTATCTCATTTGATTCGCACAACAACCCCCTGAGGTAGGGGCTATTATTCTCCTCATTTTGCTGATGAGAAAGCTGAGGCAAACAGAGCTCAAGTGACTTGCACAAGATGACTCAGCTAGAAAGTGGTTGAGGCAACATCAGCACTTTAATCATTTTCAATTCAATTCAATCATTTTTAATCACCTATTATATCACCTATTATAATCACATGTACATGACTGTGGAAAATAACAGAGGTAGCAAACACTATCCTTGCCCTCAAGAAGCTTACAATGCATAAACACGTAAGAGGATTAGAGAAAAAATCGATGGCAATATAAAAAGAAGTGTGTGATCATGTGCTACTTGTGTGTACATGTCCTCTGGAAATCCAAAGAAAGAAAAGGATTATTGTGGGGGTAGGATTAATCAAGGAGACTTCATGGACAGGTGAGTAGAAGAAAATGCAGGGTTTCACTTGGAGAGATGGTCTGGGGAATAACATGGAGGTGGGAATGAGGAAGATGTGTCTGGGCATAGTAGAGAGGCTATCCCAAGCAATGTGGAAGGGACCTACTTGGGAGGAATGAGAGACAGGACTATCAGTAAATCAACATTTCTTTCGGAATTACCAGCTAGGTGGCACAGTGGATAGATAACCAGGCCTGGAGTTAAGAAGATTCATCTTCCTGAGCTCAAATCTGGCCTCAAACGCTTATTAGCTATGTGACCCTGGGCAAGTCACTTCACCCTGTTTGCCTCAGTTTCCTCAAATGTAAAATGAACTGGAGAAGGAAATGGCAAACCATTCCAGTATCCTTGCCAAGAAAACCCCAAATGGGGTCACGAAGAGTCAGACACAACTGAAAATGACTGAACGACAAATGTGATTTAGAAAATTAAACATAATTTAAAAATCATTAAATAGGGATAAGCAACAAGAAATTTCTTTACTTTTTGAAGTCAGTTTTACAATGCTTATGTACTTGGACAAGTTTAGTTCTCAGATATTGAGTATCAGAGGTTGAATTCCTCTCATTTTCTATGTACAATGAATTCCATAGTATATATTTTGCCTTATTCTTTTATCTCAGGATCTGAGATTGGGTTGTCTTAAGGAGTTCAGAGGTAGCTTATACAGGAAAGGAGAAGGATTTTTTATTCTACTACCACCTCACCCCCAAAGGCAGACCATCTCACTGCCCATCCTGTGGGTTGCAGAAAAATCCATGAATCTCCTGGTGTACTCTTCTAGGGAAAGAATAACATGTGCTAAACAATGATCAGAAAACTATCAGTAACTAGTCATCTTTCTTTGAAAAAACACTAATAAAATTATCTCAAATGTATTCAAAACCCTTCACAACCTGACCATCTTCTACCTTTCCACACTCCTTACATCTCATTGTCCCCTCCAAAACTTCCCAACCAGCACTTGGCATCTAGTAACACTGATCTCCTTGCTTTTTCTTGAAATGCCATTCCATCTCCCAACTTTGGATTTCATGACTGTCCTCCATGTCTGGAACTTTCCTCCACCTCCTTTCTGCCTCCTGACTTCCTTGGCTTCCTTCAAGTGCTAGCTAAAACCCCATCTTTTACAAGAAACTTTTTTTGTTGCTCTTTATGATTGATTGTTATTGACTATTGTCAGTTTATTCTGTATATATCTTATTCGCACACAATTGTTTTCGTGTGGTCTCCCTCATTAGACTGTGAGATAAATGAGAACAGGGACTGTCTTTTGCTTAGCGTAGTGCTTAGCCCATAGTGGGTACTTAATAAATGCTTATTGAGTAATTTTAGCAAAATTCATATACAGTTAGGTGATTTGGTAATAGTTGAGGACCAGATTCAGTTATTAAGGAACTGATGTCAATCTTGAGGGAGAGTTTCAATGGAGTATCAAAGGACTTTTCCCCTGATCCTGTTCTATTCGACATTTTTAGAAATTATTTAAAGGCAGTCATGGCACATTCATCAAATTTGCAGTGACAAATCTAGAAGGGACCCTTAATAAATTGGATAACAGAACTGAAAACTAAAAAGTTCTTGACAGGCAGGGAAAAAGGGCCAAGTCTGTTAATATTCAAGAATAGGGATTAATGCAAAGCCCTAGGCTTGGGCTCAAAAAAACAACTGCACAGATAAAAGGTAATGAGGATATAGTTAAACAAGGCTTAACATGAAATGGATCTATAAGTTTTAATGGACTATGAGTTAAATCAGAGTTAACAATGTGATGTGAAAGCCCAATAAAGTATTCTTAGTCTGCTACAATAGGCCAAGCAAGGAAGCCAATGTTCCCAGTGTACTCTGTCTTGGTAAGATCACATCTGGAACATTGGGATCAGTTTAAGGACACTCTATTTTTTTTTTAAAGAACATTGACAAAACAGAGAACCAGGTTGAAATTCTAAACCAGGCTACATGAAAATTGGTTGACAGAACTGGGGCTATTTAGCCTAAAGAAGAGAAAACAAAGGGAAAAATGTGATTGCTATCATCAAATATGTAAAAAAAAAATCATGTGGAAGAGCAATTGGGTTTTTTCTGCTCAGTCTCAGAGAGCAAATCAAAGGATGGTGGAAGTTGCTGGGAGATAACTTCAGCTCATTTTAAGGGAAAAAAAAAACTTCTTAACAATCAGAGAGTTGTTTCAAAAATACAATGGGCTGCCTTAGCTCATGGTAAATTCCTTAACAGCTGAAGGCTGGATGATACTTGATGGGACCCTAATACAGGGTATCCCTGCTTCAGGGAGAGGTTGAACTAGATGACACCCAAAGTCCCAATTCAATTCAATCAAACATTTATTAGGCTAAGATTCTATGATAATCTTTAAGATTTGCAGGCTCCCTTTGCAAATGTCTAGGGTGACCAGGAAGGGAACTATGAAACAATTGGACAACTGGAAAAAAAAAAAAACAGATGACCCAGACAACCAATCTGACCAAAAAAGGGCAGTGCAGCCACTCATGCCAATGCAAGGCCTGAGAGAGTTTTCATCCAGGGACTATAAGTCACAAAATGCTGTGAGATGTAGTGCTGCATTTAGACTTCTGAGACCTGTCTACTACCGAGTGCCTAATGTCTATTTAGACATTAGAGAATGTATGCAAAGTGCTTTGCAAACCTTAAAGTGATAAAGATAAAGGTTAAAGATAACATTTAAGTCACTTAGTATTATTATTATATCACTTTCTTTAAATAAAACTTCCTATTCATTGCTACCATAATTTAAAGTGGGAGAATTAGGGCCAGCTTACTCTGCTGACTAATGATGTAAGATTTTTCTTGGTTTCTGGATGATAGCTTAAGCCGATAAAAATACACATCCACTGAAAAAACAGGGTATCTGACACAAGGGGTCTACTAAATGATAAACAAGAATTCATATATGGCCTAGTTAGAGAATAATAAAATTTCTAACCTTTGTACTTGGATGAATCAATGGACTGGCTCTTCCCTTTCTTTTGCCTTGCCATTTTCTATGTACACTTTCTTGTGGAAATAGAAATGGCTTCTGAGGAACACCAACTGAATGCCACCTATTTATAAAGAAACATGATTTTGAAAATATCAATAACAATTTAAAATTTTTTGTTTATTTTAAAAATTATTTTACTTTGTCATCTTAAAATAAGGCTTCTTAGTAAAGATAACATTTTTAATTGGAAAAACTCTAAAGATGATTAAGTCAGGGCTATCTTTGACAAGGTCATTCTATTCTAAAACTCATGAAGGCGTCTTAAATATCAGACCTTTCAAATCTAATGAAAGCAGTTAGTATGGATGAGAGATCTATCACTTGGCTGAGTTTATGTGACAAACAGCTGACAAAATTACTAGACTGTAAAACATTCCTACCATAAAGAAAAATAAATGTGATCATTTGTCTAATAAAACAGAATCACTCAATAGCCCAGGTTAAATATATTCAAAAAGCTGATCTTTATTTAATTAAACTGTTCATAATCATGTCATTTTAGAGACTCCTGTTAATGACTTTAGTTAAATTTTGTATTCCTTTTTTGACTCAAAAGGTTGTATTGTCTGAAGCCTGAAGCCTACTGTGAGAGGTGACTCTTCACCTCTTATCCTTCACTTCTACTTAAGGCATTTATTAAGGTATATTTCATACTCTTCATTCATTCATACTTTTTCACATACACAGAGAGACAGACTGGTAGAGTTCAAAGAGCAATGAGCTGAAGAGTCAGGATATTCAGATTCAGATTTTGACTGACATTTACTAGCTCTGTGATGGACATACCACTAAACCTCAATTTCCTCATTCATAGCATAAGAAGAAGAATTGTAATTGCTACCTTACTAAGTCATTGCAGGGAAATCTTGTAACCTTAAAGCAATAAATTTATGGGAACTATCGTGTGTTGATAGGTCACTGTCATAAAAGGTCTTTGTAAAGCTATTGTGCAGTTTTAAAATTTACCAACTTTTAAAACTTACTCTATAGTAGGACAAAATACACCAATCCCATGATATTACTAAAAAACAGTGAATTTTCTTCTAAAAGCTAACTTCTACAGGCCCTGCTTTAGCAGTTTACCTTTTCATCTATCATACTCATTTTTTATAATGAAACCTAAAATAAGAATACACACATACTAATGTAATATAGTTGTCCTAAATTTGCTTTCAAATGCTACTTACACATTGATTCTCTTTATACTGATATCCTGAGTTATTAAAATTTAAAATGAGCAAGACTTAGAGGAAGAGCCTGTATGTTACACTTATATCTTGAATAAAAGGATTTTTAGAGGGCTTAATTTGAGCAGGATATTATTCTAAAATCAAAATATTATATATGACTTCAAAATATATATGGTTCTCTTCTTTTCCAGTGGAAACACAGTGAGAATATCATATAAATGGAAACAGTACTAGATTAGGAGTCAGGAGAGTGAGGTAAAAGTCCTGGCTCTATAATCAGGACCAATGTGTGTATGACTTCTTATGTCGTGGGAAAGACCTAGCTTAAAAAGGCCAAGATTTCCCACTGCATCCGGGACCATCGTTAGTCATCCTGACCTATGTCTTGCCACTGGACTCCAATGACCCTGGAGGAGAGAGTGAGGCTGAGGACTTTGCCCAGCCTTGCCTCACTTAAATCCAATTCACTTGCAAGTCAGGAAATCTCCTTCCTGATGTAGTTGGCCCTCTTTGACAGCAACAGAGGATATTAGATTGTGAGCTCCTTGAGGGCAGGGCATGTCTGACTTTTCTATTTGCATCTCCAGTCCTTAGTACAGTGCCATGCACACAGTCAGTACTTAAATACTTTATTCATTCATTCGTTCCATCTCATTTAACTTCTTTGACCCTTGGTTTCCTCACCTGCAAAATAAGAATAATCTTTGTACAATATTATCTGTACCTGGAATGTCATGAAAATAAAAACAAGGACTTGTAGACAGTTCAAGCTTCTACTCTCACTCCCTCAATCACAGAATGCTGTTTGGAAACATTTCCTCAGTTGACCCTTGAGATCAACTTGGCATGCTTTTCTGACTTTTAGAGTTAATGGGAAACACTGAAAAAAAGAGATAGAGACTGAAGCTCTGATTTCATTGGTGTAATATATTCTCAGATGAGGAAATTCCCTCTACCAAGGCCGATCAGCCCATTCTCTGTAATTCATGGTTTTAGGAAATTTAAGAATTCTACTCCACTGCATTTAATAATGCCATGAAAAAGAAGTACAACTCTCTCCCCCACCACACCCCAGAGAAATTAAATGACTTGTCCTGCATCACATAGCCAGTATGTGTCAAAGGCAGGACTTGAAATCTAGGCTTCCTAACTTCAAAGACAGCTCTTGATCCACTCAGGGGTGGGTAATCTTTGACCTCAAGGCCATATGTGGTTTTCTAGGTCCTTGGGTGCGGCCTTTTGACTGAGTCCAAGTTTTACAAAACAAATCCTTGTATTAAGGAGATTTGTTCTGTGAAGTTTAGATTCAGTCAAAGGGCTACACTCGAGGACGTAGGGGGCCACACTTACCTGTACACTTACCTGGAGGCTGCAGGTTCCCCATCCCTGTATGCCATCCTGAAAAAAGGCTATCTTGTAAATTTAAAGCAAAACCCAACTCAGAATATGTAGACCATATCTAATTCTTCAAAACACAGGTCTACTTTGATAATTCTCTATGTGACTGAAATTGAAAAATGTATCAAAAGGACGATAATCCATTGAGGATCTAACAATCTTTATCATCTGGTGAAAATAGCCTGGACAGCAAAAGCTGTGGTGCAGCTACCTCATGAAGACAATTATTTAAGTTATTTGTCTGTAATGATTAATATTTTAGTTGCATCCCCAAGAGGCTGGGAGAAAGATACAGTAGTGCCTCAGTGGGTATTTCAGGCTACATAGGTCACTATCATAAAAGGTCACTCCATAGAAGACCTGATCTCTAGTGGAAATGTTGCTGTGTAGCCACAATGGTTCATCTCCTCTATTCATTTCTTTCCTTCATTACTTTGAGTCTCCTTAGCTTCCTCTCTTTCTCCCCTTTCTGCTGCCCTTCACCACCTTTTCCTATTACTTCAATTTCCCACTCTCTTTAATTTGCCCTTTCCCTATTCTAGTTAATCCTTCATTATTTTCTCATTCAGTTCAACTCAACCCCAATGAGCACCTTTTTTGTATATCCTACACATGACAGTCTCTGCATTAAGTACCACAGGGAATACAAAAGAAATAGAAATCAAAATCCCTAATCTCAAAGAGTTTATAATTAAGTTGAGGAAAGATAATGTATGCAAGCAGGCACATGAAAGTTGTTGTTGAATCAAACTGAGTACAACAACTAGAGAACAGAGACAAATAACAAGCAACATAGTTCAAACTATGTCCATAAATGCTGAAAACCTACAAAGTATGTGATAACTAGGATGAGGCAAGGAGGAACATATTAATGAGTATCAAAAAAAATTAAGTTTTTAAAATGTGAATTTGTTCAGTAGAATTCTCCTTGACCAATTTGATCAACATACTTCTCCCTTTAAGAGTATGAGCATGCTTGTATTCTTGTTGGCTCCTTGCTGAAAGGACATAGTCAAATCCTGGTTGGTTTTCAGTAACTGGTGCTATCCCACTTTCAAGGTGGCTAGGATTCAGAAATATGGATTCATGTCAGAAGATCTGTCTCCATTGTGCTGGCCTATTAAAGTGAATGATAAATGACTCTCAGTTCTTTTTTCCCCCCAATTTTTTCCTTGTATCTTTCTTGTCAAGGAGTCTTGAGGAACAGAGGGAACTCTGGACCACTCCAGTTGATGGTGACACAAGAAAAAAAGCACAACTATCCCCTTCCCCAAAATGGGTGAATGTTTCCAGAAAAAAAGGCATGATGCAAATGGCAAAAATAAAAGGGAAATAAAAGGTCTGAAAGCAATTTGTCATTTTCTTTTATAGGCTGACAGAGGGGTAGCTCTTCTGACAAGCATCCTTCCTCCTGAGTCCCCTCCAGCTAATCATCTTGGGGACAGATAGCTCCAGTCCACTGAAAACCAATCAGGAGTTATCTGTGTCCTCTTTACAAGAGGCTAATAGACATATGGGTATGTCTATATTTAATAAGGTGAAAAATAGGCTATTTCAGAGGAAAATAGATGTGCTCATCAAATTGTTTGGGCAGGTGTGAGAGGAGTCTCTTTTTAAAAAATTTTAAAACAAATTTATTTATTTATTTTTAGTTTTCAACATTTACCTCTACAAGATTTTGAGTTCCAAATTTTCTCCCCATCTCTCTCCTCCCCTCACCCCAAGATGGTATGTAAGTTGATATAGGCTCAACATATACATTCATATTAAACCTATTTTCACATTAGTTGTGTTGTAAAGAAGAATTATAACCAATGGGAGAAACCACAAGAAAGAAGAAACAAGAGAGACAGAGAGACAGAGAGAGAGAGAGAACAAATAATATGCTTTGATCTGGATTCAGACTCCATTGTTCTTTCTCTGGATATGGACAGCATTTTCCATCATGAGTCTTTTGCAGTTGTCCTAGATCCTTGCATTGTTAAGAAGAGCCTTTATCAAAGACACTTGTAAAAATTCTTTCCCAGTTTTCTGCTTCTCTCCTAATCTTGGTTGCATTGGCTTTGTTTGTACAAAAACTTTTCAATCTAAAGTAATCAAAATTATCCATTTTGCATTTCATAATGTTCTCTGTCTCTTGTTTGGTCATAAATTCTTCCATTCTCCATAAAATCTGACAGGTAAAATATTCCTTGCTTATAGTTTGCTTATAGTTTCAGCCTTTATATTTAAATTGTGTACCCATTTTGACTTTTATTTTGGTATATGGTGTAAGTTGCTGGTCTATGCCTAGTTTCTGCCATACTATTTTCCAGTTTTCCCACCAGTTTCTGTCAAATAGTGAGTTCTTATGTGGGAGGAGTCTCTTGATGAACCCAATTATGTCCTTGTCTGTGTTTGGCATCAATGCTTTTATTTCTATGTGTTTATAACTTTGGGGAAGCGAATGAAAAACAAGTGAGGAAGTATGTCT